ATGGCGGGTGTCTAAATAACAGTGCACACTTTTGCGGGACCGCTATAGGCTTACTTACAAACAAAGGGAAATAGCACTGGGAATTTTCTACATGAAAATCTCTGGATTATGTCTACTTCGCACTCAAGCACGCTTCGGCTTTAAGCACGCTTAAGCTTTCTCCCGATGACCGTGCTTAAAGCCGGCATGGACTGTACCACATCCCAGCAGACAGACAGAGATACTTGAAAAATATTATCTCTTCACCAGGGAATGGAACTGGGGTCTCCTGCTGCCACAGTGAAGGGCCAAACTCCTGCACCAGCAGATGTATGTGTGTAGAACTATAGGAGACGTAGAACAGACAAGACCCTTTGTTGATAGGGGCGGAAAACCTATACCATTGCACCATTGTCAAGAGCCATTAGGCCTGCTCCAATCACAGATGAATTCTAAATAGGGAGTTCTTGAATGATACTGTCTATCCTTATACCTACACGAGCCTAGAGGGACTCAACAAGTGATTCCTGGAGACCAATACCGTACATGTGTTTCCTGGAGACCAATACCGTACATGTGTTTCCTGTAGACCAATACCGTACATGTGTTTCCTGGAGACCAATACCGTACATGTGTTTCCTGGAGACCAATACCATACATGTGTTTCCTGGAGACCAATACCATACATGTGTTGTTGTTTTCCCCTAGATCATGTGTACCGAGGACACCATCAGGGAAATGTCTCACCACTTCTCCTCCCTGGAGCTCATCACCAAGGTAAGACTAACAGCTGCACATAGACTACATACGGCGCTTGTCATTGTCTCAATGTACAAATGACCGTTATTGTATCTTTGTACATGAGCAAAGACATCATTATTGTCATTGTCTCAATGTACAAATGACCGTCATTGTATCTTTGTACATGAGCAAAGACATCATTATTGTGATTGTCTGAATGTACAAATGACCGTTATTGTATCTTTGTACATGAGCAAAGACATCATTATTGTCATTGTCTCAATGTACAAATGACCGTCATTGTATCTTTGTACATGAGCAAAGACATCATTATTGTGATTGTCTGAATGTACAAATGACCGTTATTGTATCTTTGTACATGAGCAAAGACAT